CCAGGGCCCTCGTCTGGAGCCAGGCCCAGACGGCGGGCTCGAAAGCGAGCGTCTGGTGGCCGGGTTTGCCACGGAGCCCGGCCGGGCACAGCCCGAACGAGATACGTGGCATCTCTCTCCTCTCCATCCTGTGGGCCCACCACTCACAGGAACAACCGCAGGGGTCGGGTGCGCTGTCATATGGGTGGCAGTGAAGGTGGGGGGTCTCGACGGATCAGACCCGGGCGGCAGAAGCTTGCTTTGGGGACGTGGAACGTCACCTCACTGGGGGGGAAGGAGCCAGAACTTGTGCGTGAGGTGGAGCGATACCAGTTGGATCTGGTGGGACTTACCTCTACGCACAACCGTGGCTCTGGAACCTTACTCCTGGATAGGGGTTGGACTCTGTTCTTCTCTGGAGTTGCCCAGGGTGAGAGGCGGCGGGCTGGTGTGGGGATACTCACGAGCCCACGTCTGAGCAAGGCGGTGTTGGAGTTTACCCGGTGGATGAGAGGTTTGCCTCCCTACGCCTAAGGGTGGTGGGGGAAAACTCTGACTGTTGTTTGTGCTTATGCACCAAACAGCAGTTCGGAGTATTCAGCCTTCTTGGAGACCCTGAAGGGAGTCCTATATAGGGCTCCAGTAGGGGACTCCATCATTCTGCTGGGAGACTTCAACGCACATGTGGGCAACAATGGAGACACCTGGAGAGGCGTGATTGGGAGGAACGGCCTCCTGATCTAAACCCGAGCGGTCGTTTGTTATTGGACTTCTGTGCTAGTCATGGATTGTCTATAACAAACACCATGTTCGAACATAAGGAGGCGCATAAGTGTACATGGTACCAGAGCACCCTAGGCCGAAGGTCAATGATCGATTTTGTGATCGTATCGGCTGATCTAAGGCCGCATGTTTTGGACACTCGGGTGAAGAGAGGGGCAGAGCTGTCAACTGATCACCATCTGGTAGTGAGTTGGATCAGAGGGTGGGGAAAGACTTTGGACAGACCAGGTAAGCCCAAACGGGTAGTGCGGGTGAACTGGGAACGTCTGGAGGAGACCCCTGTCCGAAAGATCTTCAACTCACACCTCCGGCGGAGCTTTTCAGGCATCCCTGTGGAGGTTGGGGGCATTGAACCTGAGTGGGCAATGTTCAAAGCTTCTATTGCTGAAGCTGCGGCGGTGAGCTGTGGTCTCAAGGTCCTAGGTGCCTCAAGGGGTGGTAACCCTAGAACACCGTGGTGGACCACGGTGGTCAGGGAAGCTGTCCGACTGAAGAAGGAGGCCTTCAGGGATATGCTAGCCCTGGGGACTCCGGAGGCAGTTGCAGGGTACCGACACGCCCGAAGGGCTGCAGCCGCTGCCGTGTCTGAGGCAAAGCAGCGGGTGTGGGAGAAGTTTGGAGAAGCTATGGAGAAGGACTTTCGGTCGGCACCAAAATGCTTCTGGAAAACCGTTCGGCACCTCAGAAGGGGAAAACGGGGAACCATCCAAGCTGTGTACAGTAAGGATGGGACACTGTTGACCTCAACTGATGATGATCGGGCGCTGGAAAGAGCATTTTGAGGAGCTCCTGAATCCGACCTACACGCCCTCTAGTACAGAGGCAGAGCTGGAGGCTGATGGAGGGTCATCGTCAGTTTCCCTGGGGGAAGTCGCTGAGGTAGTCAAACAACTCCACAGTGGCAAAGCCCCAGGGACTGATGAGATTCGTCCAGAAATGCTAAAAGCTTTGGGTGGGGAAGGGCTGTCTTGGTTGACACGCCACTTCAACATTGCATGGAAGTCTGGGACAGTGCCAGAGGAGTGGCAGACCGGGGTGGTGGTTCCCCTCTTTAAAAAGGGGGACCAGAGAGTGTGTGCCAATTACAGATGTATCACACTCCTCAGCCTCCCTGGTAAAGTGTACTCCAAAGTGCTGGAAAGGAGGGTTCGGCCAATAGTCGAACATCAGATTGAAGAGGAACAATGCGGTTTTCGTCCTGGCCGGGGAACCACGGACCAGCTCTTTACTCTCGCAAGGATCCTGGAGGGGGCCTGGGAGTATGCCCATCCAGTCTACATGTGTTTTGTGGATCTGGAGAAGGCGTATGACCGGGTACCCCGGGATCTTTTGTGGGAGGTGCTGCGGGAGTATGGGGTGAGGGGGTCTCTTCTCAGGGCCATCCAATCTCTGTACGCTCAAAGCATGAGCTGTGTCCGTGTCCTCGGCAGTAAGTCGGATTCGTTCCAGGTGGGGGTTGGCCACCGCCAGGGCTGCGCTTTGTCACCAATCCTGTTTGTAATATTCATGGACAGGATATCACGGAGTAGTCATGGGGGGGAGGGGTTCCCGTTCGGTGGGCTGATGGTCACATCACTGCTTTTTGCGGATGATGTGGTCCTGATGGCCTCATCGGTCGGTGACCTTCAGCACTCACTGGATCGGTTCGCAGCCGAGTGTGAAGCGGCTGGGATGAGGGTTAGCACCTCTAAATCTGAGGCCATGACTCTCAGCAGGAAACCGGTGGAGTGCCTACTCCGGGTAGGGAATGAGTCCTTACTCCAAGTGAAGGAGTTCAAGTACCTCGGGGTCTTGTTCGCGAGTGAGGGAACAATGGAGCGGGAGATTGGTCGGAGGATCGGAGCAGCGGGGGCGGTGTTGCATTCGCTTCACCGCACCGTTGTGACGAAAAGAGAGCTGAGCCGAAAGGCAAAGCTCTCGATCTACCGGTCAATCTTTGTTCCTACCCTCACCTATGGTCATGAAAGCTGGGTCATGACCGAAAGAACGAGATCGCGGGTACATGCGGCCGAAATGGGTTTTCTCAGAAAGGTGGCTGGCCTCTCCCTTAGGGATAGGGTGAGAAGCTCAGTCATCCGAGAGGAACTCGGAGTAGAGCCGCTGCTCCTTTGCATAGAAAGGAGCCAGTTGAGGTGGTTCGGGCATCTTGTACGAATGCCACCTGGGCACCTCCCTAGAGAGGTGTTCCAGGCACGTCCAGCTGGGAGGAGACCTCGGGGAAGACCCAGGACTAGGTGGAGAGATTATATCTCCACACTGGCCTGGGAACGCCTCGGGATACCCCAGTCAGAGCTGGCTAATGTTGCCCGGGAAAGGGAAGTTTGGGGTCCCCTGCTAGAGCTGCTACCCCCGCGACCCGACCCCGGATAAGCGGTTGAAGATGAGATGAGATGAGATTGGTGAAACACGCGCACGACGTTGTATTTCGGCCTCCTCTTTTTTGCAAAACTCCCAGGGCTGCGAAATGGGATCGCGGGTCACTCGGACCCGCTCAATTTGGGGTGTGTACGCGGACGCGAGGACAATGGCTGGGGATAGATGCCGGGGTTGTGAGTTCGAGCCTCGCCCGGTGCGGTGGTTTTTTACACCCTCGCCGATAAATACTAATAAAGGTAGTAAGAATAGATGGACAACGGTGAAACCCGCGCACGTTGTTGTATTTTGGCCTCCTCCCTTTTGCAAAACTCTGATGGAAGTCAAAAGCTATCGCGGATCACACAGACCCGCTCAACCCGGGCGGTGTACGAGACGCGCGGACAGCTGCTGGGTTAGATGCAGGGGTGGCGAGTTCGAGTCTCGCCCGGGGCGGTGTTTTTTTTTCACCCTCGCCGATAAATACTAATAACAATAGTAATGATAGATGGACAACAGTGAAACACGCGCACGTTGTTGTATTTCGGCCTCCTCTTTTTTTTGCAAAACTCTGAGGGCTGTGAAAAGAGATCGAGGGTCACTCCGACCCGCTCGACTCGGGCTGTGTACGCGACGCGAGGACAATGGCTGGGGTTAGATGCCGGGGTTGTGAGTCCGAGCCTCGCCCGGGCCGGTGGTTTTTACACCCTCGCCGATAAATACTAATAAAGGTAGTAAGAAAGAATAGATGCAAAACAGGGCTGTGAAAGACGGCACGTTGCTGTGTACGCGACGCGAGGACAATGGCTGGGGTTAGATGCCGGGGTTGTGAGTCCGAGCCTTTTGCCGATAAAACTCTGTAAGGCTGATAGAAAAGAGACACGGTCACGTTGTTCTGACCTCTTTTTGCAAAACTCTGAGGGCTGTGAAAAGAGATCGAGGGTCACTCTGACCTGCTCGACTCGGACTGTGTACGCGACGCGAGGTCAATGGCTGGGGTTAGATGCCGGGGTTGTGAGTTCGAGCCCCGCCCGGTGCGGTGGTTTTTTACACCCTCACCGATAAATACTAATAACGATAGTAATGATAGATGGACAAGAGTGAAACACGCGCACGTTGTTGTATTTCGGCCTCCCCCTTTTTGCAAAACTCTGAGGGCTGTGAAAAGAGATCGCGGGTCACTCGGACCCACTCGACCTGGGGTGTGTACGCGTCGCGAGGACAACGGCGGGGTTAGATGCCGAGGTGGCGAGTTCGAGGCCTCGCCCGGGCCAGTGTCTTTTTTTAGCCCTCCCAGATAATTACTAATAACGATAAAAATAATAAATCGATTACAGGGACACACGTGCACGTTGTTGTATTTCGGCCTCCTCCTTTTTGCAACACTCTGAGGGCTGTGAAAAGAGATCGAGGGTCATTCTGACCAGCTCGACTCGGGGTCTGTACGCGATGCGAGGACAACACAAGGGTTAAGGACAGGGATCAGTTGGATAGACAGTTTTTCAAAAAATGCAAAGGTTGCATCTTGATTACTGTACTGGCTTACCACATTTTTAAGGTGAATTAGCTGAACGAAGAACATACTAATATGTACATCTTCGCATGTTGTTTGTTGCATTCTTGAAATGTTGGACTCCAGTCTTCTGTCATCATGAACAGCTCATAGGCTACAGGTTCTATGGTGTAATGGTTAGCACTCAGGACTCTGAATCATGCCTTTTGAGTTCAAATCTCAGTAGGACCTTTTAACTGTTCGAAGTCCAGGACTGGTTGGTTTTATTCCTTGGCAGGCAGAAGCTGATACATCTTAGAAATTCTTTTTACTTATCTCAAACAAGTGCTAACTGTCACTACGGCCAGTCATTTCAATTTCTTTCAATAGGTCTGGCCGGTTAGCTGAGTTGGTCAGTGCGTCGTGCTAATAAAGCGAAGGTCTCTGGTTCGATGCCCATACTGGCCATCAGTGTTTTTCCATCTAATAGCTTCGTTCAAATCAACACAGATGCATTAACATTCCCGCTCAAAATGACTTAACGTCAAATGTTTTTGTGTCCCTCAGCATTACATTGAAAAGTTTCTGAGCACATTGAACAGGTTCTGAGCACATTGAACAGGTTTGGAACACCTCATTTTTTAATTGTCAATTCAATGAAAATGCAAACACTATTCATGTCATTCAATGGCGATGACTATGCCGAACAATCATTTAACAGCGTCCTTACCAAAAAGTTCTATACTCGTTTTGAATCTTGAGGCATTTTAACCAATGGCCATTGGATGCACCTGGCTCCAGAGGCTGAGGCTGGTTGGTTTTATTCCTTGGCAAGCAGAAGCTGATACATCTTAGAACATTTTTTTACGCATCTCAAACAAGTGCCAACTGTCACTACGGCCAGTCATTTCAATTTCTTTCATCAGGTCTGGCATGTTAGCTCAGTTGGTCAGAGTGTCATGCTAATAAAGCGAAGGTCTCTGGTTCGATGCCCGTACTGGCCGTCAGTGTTTTTCCATCTAATAGCTTCGTTCAAATCAACACAGATGCATTAACATTCCCGCTCAAAATGACTTAACGTCAAATGTTTTTGTGTCCCTCAGCATTACATTGAAAAGTTTCTGAGCACATTGAACAGGTTTGGAACACCTCATTTTTTAATTGTCAATTCAATGAAAATGCAAACACTGAATGCAAACACTCCCACAGTCTCCCAGTCCACCTTGCTGTAAAGTGTAAACCACCACCAACCACGTACTTCCTCGGTCTGCCTTCCTCCTCCAGGGTCTCTCGTCATCTAGTTTCTGTTAGTAACATACTTGCACAATTTCTGGTTAACACTCAACATACAATTACCCATCATGTTACCAACATTGAAAACAAAAAACACAAATCCTAGTATATCTAATTTTAGCATCTCGCATGCGTTAATGAACTCGTCAGTTCTTTAAGCGAGGTATTTTACCTGAACAATTTAACAGAACTGCCTTACACAACCTATATTGAATCCAATTTTAGTCCTACTGTATTGAGTACAGTTTCTATATTGACGAACTTCATACAGGCAACCTTCACTCAGTCTGGCTCTCTACTCTCACCCCTCAAAGGGTAAGCCATTCTCTAGGGAGGATTTTGAGCCCCAGAAGACTATTTCTGGTGTGCGCACTTACCAGACCAAGCAAACACCTGTTAGAAGTACTGAAATGAGCCTATAGCCCCTCGCTAATTTATAAAAATCATCCCAATAACATCAATAAGTATACTCGACTACAGATTCAGTCTCCAAATTTTCTGAGAAACCACATTTAGGTGGGCTATGAGACTTTCCTTTAAAATAACCGTACCAATTAAATCAAAACTAATGAGCCTATTTTAGTAATACATTAAAACCAGTTTCAAGCTGTTCACATTGTTTACCATTCAAATTCAGTGTTTTATTAACTTAAGCTTCAACATTCTTTTTCAGAATACTTACCCCTTTTCAAAGATAGGCCTGGCTTGTTCAATTTCACATGTTAACTCATCAAAGTCAACTAAACCTATGTCCCCACAGTCACGTCTGCACAATGGTCGTCTTGTGTCAATTTAGTATCCCTCATACCCAATGAAGCAATCGGTAAGACCATTACCCAATTTAATTTAGTTTGTGCACAGATTTTGGAAAGGATTCTTTTAGTAATTGACTCATTTGTTCGACTCGACCTTGAGACTTAGGATGGTATAAGATGCCATATTTAAGAACAATACACAGCTTATCCACCAACACGTTTCACAATGTTAGCTACAAAACCAGGACCGCTGTCATACTGAATAACACTAAGTAAACCAAAACTTGGTATGATATCTCTCATTAATGTCTCAGCCACCACTAGGCTTACCCCACCGATCGAGAAAACCCATCAAGTATCACAAGCATGTATCTCTTTAACTTTTACTGGAGTAATCATTGCAACAAAATCTAGAAACAAATTTGCAATAGAATCTCTCGGGTTCCGAAATATTCAGGTGTCATGCAGTGCACTTTAATAATCACTCTTTGTCCATACCCCCTCTTGCTGCCACTATGCCAACAATGATTTGCTACCTACCAACCTCTATCCGTATCTCCTGATTTACTCTATCCTATTAAACCTATGTATTGTGATATAGTAAGTAATTATCTCAACACAGCAATTATCCAATTATAGTCTTCCAATATTTACCTGACCTGTCACCAACATTCTCAACTTTCATAAACCTTTCTCCTACTTCCTGGGGGCAGACAACCCCCTCCCCTTGTCACTCGTTAGCCCTCTTTTTTAACACTTCCTCATGCTCACCTAATCATACTTTACAGAACGTTCTATCACAATTTACTTCTACCCAACACAACGAGACATCTCTGAACTTTTATTTGCTGTTTATTCTATTTGCTGATAGTTACTTAGTACTCAACTTGTAATAATGTATTTTATTGTGTGTGTGTGTAAAATTGATTTTACTGTCTTTAACTTAGATCACACCTGAGTTATTTTCTTATACCTAGTTCCTATGTTGTCTAGTTTAGCTTGGTGAGTGTAAAAACAAATCTATTACATGGCTACGGCAGCACACCTAAATTTAACCTCTCATTCTGCTGTAATTCTGTTCTACTCTGTCTCTGAAAACCTATTTGATGTTCTTATCCTTCCTAAAATATTACTATTTGACTGTTCAGACGGGAAGCTGTTTCTGTTAAACTATGGTTATTTTAGAAAGACTCTATGTGCATGTATGTAGTTATTATTTTAAAACAAATTCAGTTACTTCCGTGTATAATAATCTTTCTACTGAGAAGAATTTTATATTCTGACAGGAATTGTTAAAGTATCTTCTAATGTTGATCCAATTAAACCAATCGATACTCTATGATTGAATATCAAAAACATGTCACAGAATGTTGTCTCAACGCTCAAAACTATAGATAGTAGTATGTAGTATGGAACAAATAGATTAACCCAGGCACTCAATAACAGTGTGGAAAACAATTCTCTATTGGAAGACAATTCTTTATATATTGACCTAGTCACGCAACTGTAGACAGTAAACTAAAAAAGAACCACGATGGTATCAATACTTTAACTTAATCAACAGGCTCTGTTCTTTAAAACACAAGTAGCACCTTCTGTAAACACAGTGCTATCTTATAAGATGAAATAATCAACCAAATCCAAGACAACATAGAAATATAGTTATATTAACCCAACTCAATCAACGTCAACCACAACACCCCCTCTCATCACCATCATAAATGCACACACAAAGCCAGAACTAAATTACCACATCGCAGGCATCATTGAAATATATCTATATATGTACTGACCCTTAGCAGGACTCTCCAAAAGCCCTAGTATGATCTTTCGGTATTTGGCCACGGATTAGTTGGACAGTTCCTACGGTTATGTCCTTCTAGGCTACAACCCCAACAAGTCCTAATTTCACGCCTTACCTGACCTCCTGTCCATTGCCTACCCCCTGGCTGCGGTCTACCCTGACCTGTCTGTCTGGGCCTCTCTACAACGGCAGGTGCTGAACTAGGAGTGTCAGAGCGTTTTCGGGCATAGCCATGACTTCTGGCCTCATCACTGAGTTCAGGACTGGACTTCACAACACGCATCCCTTTTTGTTTCCTGGTCTGCTCAAGGCTGGTTCGGGCCAGTCTTCTGGTGACTTCAGGTCCTTGTTTATCCTGGGCCTTCTTGGTCTCTTGGTGGGCTTTAGTGTTTCTGCCCACGGACATCATGTCCAAGCCTGGAACGTTGGCCAGTTTGCTTTGTATGCCCCCAGGAGGGGTGTCCACCACTGCCCCTCGGAAGAGCTGAGTCTGCATTGTCTTTGGGTCAGTTGTCACTGATTCAGTAGCAGTGTCCAGCCATTGCTGGGTCTGTTCATGGAGCCGGGTCTCAAAGTGTTCTGTTAGGGTGGAGGCTCGGGTTGGTCTCAGAGACCTCCACAGGGGATTGCAATATCGATCGTCCTGACCATAAAACAGCCGAGTGCCTTCAGTCACACCACTGGCCGTCAACGCGTCCACCATCTCCTCTCTTGTTAATGATGTTATCAGCAAACACATAATGTCACCTACAGCCAGCGTCTGTCCCACCATGTTGCCCCAAATCGTCCTGTATTCCACATACTTATTCATTCCGTGTAACCTATGCGTACGTTTCCAAGAACGCCTTGTCACTTCCTTCCTCTGCGTAATCAACCATGTACTAATATGACCATCTTGTCCCATGTGGCATCTTTCGGCCACTGGACGTCGGCTTTCACCTTTTTTAATTTACTACTTAGCTCTCTACTCCACACTGTCAATAGTTTGCCATCCTGCTCGTTAAGACTTGCAATCCAAGTCAACGGGGGAACACTGACCATATGTTCCAACTTAGTCTTTGTATTCGTCTGCATGTTGTAGAGTGGCATACTAAATGTGTGAATGAGTGACAGACTAAGTGTGTGTGTGACTGAGTGACAGACTAAGTGTGTGTGAATGAATGAGTGAGTGAATAAGTGACAGACTAAGTGTGTGTGTGAGAGTGGCTGTGTGAGATTCTGTGTGTGTGTGTGTGTGAGACTGTGTGTGTGTGTGTGAGACTGTGTGTGTGTGTGTGTGTGTGTGTGTGTGTGTGTGTGTGTGTGTGTGTGTGTGTGTGTGTGTGTGTGAGACTGTGTGACTGTGTGTGTGTGTGTGAGACTGTGTGAGACTGTGTGTGTGTGTGTGAGACTCTGTGTGTGTGTGTGTGTGTGTGTGTGTGTGAGACCCTGTGTGTGTGTGTGTGTGTGTGTGTGTGTGTGTGTGTGTGTGTGTGTGTGTGTGTGTGTGTGAGACTGTGTGTGTGTGTGTGAGACTGTGTGTGTGTGTGTGTGTGTGTGTGAGACTGTGTGTGTGTGAGAGAGTGGGTGTGTCTCTTGAAATACACAACTTATGTAACCCCACCGAGTTCTGTCCA